TTAAAATTTTATAAAAAGCAACTAATGATTTGCATAATTAAGTGAAATAAATTAATCAATATAAAAACAGGTTGACATACAGAAACCAGAGGTGATTTTATGGTAGGGGTGTTGCCCCCCTCCCCAAGAATGTAGTTCTCGGGTGTTTTTACGAATTTAGTCTGCTAGTCATGTATTTTTTTCGGCACTTTTTAAGAATACACCCCCTCCCCTCTCTCTTTTTATACGTAGGATCGCCTCTGACAGAGAGTGGTTATATGTTTTTAAGAAAACTAATGCTTTTCTGTATAAAAAAGTTTAATTAAAATAGTTTTAACTCTCAAAGTATGAAATTTTTTTGATTGACTAGTTTTTGACTGACTGGGTTTTAGCTGATGGTTAGCTAAAAGTTTCAGCTATTAAAAAAACATAATTTTTCTCAGCTTAACTACACTTTTTAATACAAAGAGTCTTCCATGAAGTACACATAAAGTAAAACATTCCTGGCATGTAACTCCCTTATTTAAATCATTAGTTGCGCGTGTATATAGCGCTAAAATGTGTTCATGCACGCCCTACGCGTATTAGGTATTCGCAAAGTCTATTTTAAGTATCAAATTTCAATTTTTTTTTCGCAAAAAAGCGCAGGCATTTACGCGGCGGTCATATTGGCTTATAAAACTTCCAAAACTTCGAATGCAAAAGATTATCGAAACTTGATCAAAAAGGTCCGCAAATAAGTTTTTGTTTCGAAAAATTTCCAAACATAATGCTTAACATTAAATTATAATAATTATTTTAAATATAATTACAACTATAAATACATTTTTTAAGTATATTTTTTTAATAAAAAAATTAAAGTTTAAACATATATCATTAGCTTTTTTTATATAATTTCCTCGTTAAAATTTATAAAGAAATTGAAATTGACTTTGTCCGCTTCTATAATAGATAACATTATGACTACGGACACTTTTAATGAGTTCCTCAAAAAGGGTTTAATTAAAAGTTTTAATTATTGAGAAAAAAATCGGGAAATGATCTGAAGCATCAGTAAATGTAAACAGACAAATGTAAACTTAAAATGTAAAAAAAAAAAAAAAAAAAAAAAAAAAAAAAAAAAAAAAATCATTTCCCGATTTTTTTTTCAATAAATATTGGTATTGACTTAGTTGCGAAACAAAATCAAGTTTACTTCAAACGATGCTTTAGCTAAGCAAACATAATGTCGTTTAATGAGCAGCTATTCTTACTACACTGGAAACATATAAATTTTTCATCTGAAGCAAATCTAGTTTATAACTCGTTTTTTAAAACATTTTTTGAAGTTTATGACGCAAACTTTCCTTTATGCGAAGTAAGTCAAAAAAAAAAAGAATTAAGTTGCCATGGATTACCAAAGAACTTAGAAAATTGTCCAAAGTTAAACAAAAATTGTATATTAAGTAATACTAAAAAATACTACTCAAACCTACGAGAGAAGTTTAAACTTAACTCAAAGCGTACGTGACAAGTATTAAATGAAATTATTGGCAACCATAAGATTAAAACATGCAACTTACCAAAAGTTATTAGAAACAATGATAATTTCATATATAATCCAAAAGATATATCAAATCAGATAAATAACTATTTTGTATCTGTTGGTCCTAATCTAGCAAAAAATATTCCAGTTGTAACTAACAAAACAAATTATTTTGTCCTTCTCAAAATTTCTGTACCTAATAATTTTGAAATTTCAATGAAAGAATTTGAATATGTTTATAAAATGCTAAATCAAATAAAGCAAGAGGCCAGGACGAAATAAATAGTAACATTATTATATTATCTTACGAGATCATAAAAACTATACTGTTCAAAGTGTTTAGTTACTCAATAAAACAAGGAATATTTCCTGACCAACTTAAGATCGCTAAAGTTACACCAATATATAAAGGTGGTAAATTATCAAATATAACTAATTATCGAACAATATCTGTACTCTCTGGCTTTTCAAAGGTTTTTGAAAGGATTTTTTTCAACAAAATATATGAACATCTTTCTAAAAATAAAATATTAAATGCCAGTCAATATGGATTCAAAAAAATAATTTCACGGAATACGCCATACTTCATGTAACTAGTAATATTGCAGATTCTTTTGAGAAATCACAATTTACTCTTGGAGTTTTCATTGATCTATCAAAAGCCTTTGATACGATAGATCATGAGATTCTTGTACAAAAACTTAAAAACTATGGAATCAGCAATCGTAAACAGCTTGTGCAAATTGACGTATCCTCGTCAACAAGTTTACTATATACAACATGTGGTGTTCCCCAAGGGTCTATACTAGGGCCACTACTTTTTCTCATTTATGTTAATGATCTGCACAATGCCGCAATTTTGAAGACAGTAATGTTTGCTGATGATACAAATCTTTTTTCTATCCGGTAAAAATATCATTACACTATTTAATGAAATCAACATAGAACTAATTAAAATTTCAAATTGGTTTAAGTCAAATAAACTATCAATTAACT